GACAGTGTTGTTACTGGCTCTGGCATCTGCCAAGCGAGTCAGTGACATTCATGCGCTCTCTGTACATCCTTCATGCACTCAGTTTGCCCCGGGGCAAACAAGAGTGTTGCTGAAGCCCAACCCTGCCTTTGTACCTAAGGTGGTTGGCTCATGTACCCCCATTGACATTGAGGCATTTCCTCCGCCACTGTGTTCCTCTGAGGAACAGCGGCCGAATTTGCTGTGCCCAGTCCGTGCTTTACGCACCTATATGGACAGGTCAAAAGAGTTTCGATGCAATGACCAACTCTTTGTATCCTGGACTAACCCTCATAAGGGCAAGCCTGTTACCAGGCAACGGCTCTCCCACTGGATTGTGGAGGCTTATACGAGTCAGGGTTTGCAGGCACCAACGGGCCTGCGTGGTCATTCTACTCGTGGACTGGCTACATCCTGGGCTTTGTTCAAGGGTGTTTCCATCCAAGACATTTGTGCAGCAGCGACTGGGTCCTCACCGCTCACTTTTGTCCGCTTTTACAGGCTAGATGTCTCTGCTCCAAGTGTGGCCCGCGCAGTGCTGGGTCCCGTGTTGAGACAGAGTTCTACCTGTTAAGTTCTGGTTGTTTTGGTGATTTTTGAGATAAGCATGTCTAGCAATACGGGAGTTTCAATATCCCATAGTGAGACATCGAACGGAGTGTTATGAATGAGAACTATAGGTTACTTACGTAACCCCAGTTCTCAGAGTAACATGAAGTGAGATGTCTCACCAGACGGCCCTTCTTGCTAAGGCGAAGCGAGAAGAGGTGCTTATTTTGAATGACGCTGCGACGTAGCGCAAGCTACTTAAAGGGTGGGTGGATTCCCTGACGTAGACGTCAAGATCACCAGCCAATCAGGATTGGCGTAATGAGATTGATGCTTCTGTTTGCATACGCGTTGAGTAACTTCATGTTACTCTGAGAACTGGGGTTACGTAAATAACCTATAGTTTAGGAACTGGGGTAGTTACTATAGTAACGCAGTGTAGGCGGAGCCGTGACGTCATCTTCAATGAGCGCCCCAGAAAAACAACACAGCCGTTAGCTCTTAGCACTCACAGCTCACAGCTCCTCATATCTGTTCAGAAACTAGACAAAAGTTAAACAAGTACAAACCACAGACTGCCTGTGTCATTGCGAATACAGTCGCTGGTTTATTTATGTCTGTATAGGCCGTTGTTGTGAGTGTGGACGGTCGGAGCATATATAATGTTAGCTTAGCCAAGCTCCATTTAGAAAACACGCATTTTAAAAGGGTTTTTCGCCTGCCGTCATGCCCGGACCTGCCATCGGGAGGACCGGGAGGTTTCCCGATGGCCTGGCCTGTTAAGTGGCCTGCTGGCCTTTTTATGTATGTATTGTGAACGCAAATGTGGGTCTGACTGCCTCACAGAGTGTGACTGTCTGTATACATGATGTGGCCCACCCACATGGCCACTTTCATACAGATCATACTAATGCCCTCGATTGGTCTCTGTGTGCCATTCAAGCTCGGGAGGGTGTGTGTTAGTGTATGTGTGGCGCGAGCGAGTGAGATAAAGCGCGCGCACCGGTTACGTGTATTGTTGTTGTTAGCATCTAGTGCTAGCTGCGCTAACGGATATAAGGAGCTTTTTCAACAACAAGGTGGGAGGAGAGTCCTCTCCAGTCAGACTGAGAGACTGATAACTACAGCTCAGGTGAGGTAAAGGACTCTCTGAGTGTTTAGATAGTTAACTTAGTCTAAGTTATCTCTGTGGGTCTCAAACGGTTTGGTCACCATTTATGTAAACACATATTTCCATTTGAGGGGGGAGTGATTAGTAAAATATGCATGAATTAAAAAAAAATGTTAACTAGGTGAAAAAAGGCAAGATAAACTATTAAAACTTGTTGAGAGCTAAAACTAGTCTTTGCTTCTGCCTCAAAGAGGAGCAGGAGGGAGAGGAGGGAGACAGGTGAGGCTGGTTCAGGAGCACACACACTCACAACTATAAATGAACCAAAAACAAATAAATAAACAAGTTTCAATGTTTTTTCATATTGGATATGGTATGTTATTGGTTATGGCCATGTTTTTATGATTTTATGATTATTTAAATGTATACAGTTATGTTTCATATGGGTGTAGTCTCTTTATTTCCCCCTCAAAATGCACCAGATTGATGCATTTAAGTCCAACATTAAAAAAAAAAATCTTACCGGGGGGGGGGGGGGGGGGGGGGGGCATGCCCCCGGACCCCCCGGACCCCCCTATAGGATTTGAGGTCCACCCCCACTTAAAATATGTTCACATAGGTTCCTAAATAGATTTGCACATTTTTTAAAATAGTAACCCAAGTCCATATGTTTATTTTTGGGTAGTAGATTTAGAGGGCTATCACTACGGGCAGCAACGCTGTAAAATTGACAAATAAATCCAGCAAAATGGCCCAAAAAACTGGTAGTGGCCTGGCTGGGTGTATAATTCCCGGCCTGATTTATTGTCCCAGTCCGGCCCTGCCTGCCGTCTGTCTGCAGACTTGTCAAAGCATTAATTCATGGTTTTTACTAACCGGTATCAGTATGTTGTTACTTCAGCATCATTTTGAAACGTGTATTACAATTAAATCACGGTCAAATATGTTCATCTTGTTGTAGTTGTAGCCCCCTTACCAGCGATTCTCTCTCTAGTTTAGCATACTCAGCCTGGTTGTTCCTGGCCCTAGAACCACGATTTTATGGGGCCAGAAAAACTGTGAATTAGGACCCGCTAGCCGGTACTAGGCCAAGTGGAAACGCAACCTAAAACGGGCCCCGCACGGCTCGGCACGCTTAAAGCGAGCTACCCGCTGCAGTGGAAACGCGCCATTAGGGACGCTTAAACGGGGCTACCCCGCTGCAGTGGAAATGTGCCATTATTGTCGCAGTCCGGCCCTGATTTAAGGTATACCACTCTCTGTGTTATAAATAAAGATAGCTTATGGCTTGATTTTGCACTAATACTGTATGGGGGAAATAACAGCTAGCTGAAGTCTCTCTAAATGTAAATGCACGCCCTAGAATGCTATTACGTTTAACTAAGATGCTTAATGTGGTCAACCTGCTAAACATCTGCATGTTATCATTGTCATTGTGAACATGGTAGCAGGCTGTCATTAGGATTTAGCCCAAGAAACAGCTTGGCCTATTTACCTCCTTAAATAACTGCTAGCTCGGCTGTAGACTCCTCACAGTGGAAATCGCTCAGATAGCTGCTTGCCTGATAAAGACATCTCTACAGGTGCAATCAGGCTAACTACGTCCTGCAGCTCTGATTATTGAACACACAATCATGAGAGTGGTGTTGATCTTCTCATTTGATTAGAACAACTGGCATCCACTAAGGCACAAATTAACAAAAATCACAAAGACTTTCTCAGATGTTCTTTTATGTATGAGACCAATGTTCGAAAACAAGAGCACAAACCAAGAGGACAATACTATAGAAAACAATTGATTAATCAAATACGTAAACACATAAACTGCTAACACTGTCGAAGGAATAGGATTTAAGTTGCTCTCCCTGAGGTTTCTCCCATTTTCCCCTTTAAATTGTGGGTTTTCTTCGGAAGTTTTTCCTTGTACGATGTGAGGGTCTAAGGACAGAGGGTGTCGTATTGTCATACTGATATTTTGTACAAACTGTAAAGTCCACTGAGACAAATGTAACATTTGTGATATTGGGCTATATAAATAAACATTGATTGAAAATAAACATTGATTGAAGTCTCAAACGAAGACACAGCATTAGACTTTCATAAACACAATATATATTTGTTCAGCAAGTACGCAGAAGTCCATAATGAGTGTGTGTTGGGTCCGTTGAGGAAAGGTGTGAACAGGGCAAGCTTGACTTTAGCATTTGTTACACAGTGCTGATACAATTCAATATATATTGATTATTACTGAACTAAGATAAGATAAGAGGTGCTTTATTGATCCCAAATTGGGACATTTTTGCGTTGCAGCAGCATCCAAAACAAAACAAGGCATTGCACAAAAGTAGAAATAAACAATTCTAGAAATTAAACATCTCAAAATAGAATTAAAACAGCATTAAAAAGTAGAAAATATACAGTAGACTGTGAAGATAAAACATCTATAAGCTCCGACAATAAAACACTATTGAAGAGTTTTAGACACAATAGGATATTATTTACATTAAGTGTGTTAAATTAAATATAAATGTGAATTGTACAGTGTGTCCAGTTATCCAGAGAACTATTTATTTGATGTCAACATATACTTTACTAAAGAGTGAGAGGAATCCACTTTGAAGCATGACTCACCACCTCCAGTCGTCTCAGTCACTGCTCAACTCCCTTTTTCCCACACAGAGGACCCCAGACATGATGCTGTTCTTATTACAGCCCCTCTGCCATGGCCCCTCCAGTCCCTAACACTCGTGAATAATCTGTCTTGACTCCTGTGTCCTGATGAGTTTTACACGGTTTGACCGACCTGCCCTTGGCCAATCGCACCAGACTCCTGGAGCGCCAAGAGCTCTTTTGACTTCTTCCTCTCTCCTTGGAGAAACATGTTAGGACAAAGACGTCTGTCCACACATTTGATGCTTTCATTAAATATCATTGAACCAGGTGGCCATCTTACCTGTCATGCTCTCCGCAGCATACTAAATGTGCAATCAACGCTTTGATAGGGATCCTTGATAATGAATGAGTCACCTTGTTTGTGTTTTGAATATTTATAACTAGGGGAAACAAATCCTCTTTGACATTGCACAGAAAAGTAAAAACATCATAAATACAGGAGGATAAATACATAAAAAATCATACTTTTGCCCCTTCTTTAGTGAAGTTGCAGCGCAGTCCCAGCTATAAACAGGAATATATTTGTTTGTGAGGCGTGTGAAAGCTGGACTCGCTCCACAATAATCGCTGCCCTACCTTCCAGTTTCTCTCTCGTGCTGAGTGACTCATGACATCGTTTGCTGATTGGCTCTTTTTCTTTGGTTTCCAGGACGACAACTCCATGTTTTTCCAGTTCGGTCCGTCCATCGAGCAGCAGGCCTCCGTCATGTTGAACATCATGGAGGAGTATGACTGGTACATCTTCTCCATTGTCACCACATACTACCCTGGCTACCAGGACTTTGTCAACAAGGTAAATAAACACAGATACAGACACACAGGTAGCATACAGCTTGCTCTGTAAACAGCAGGACTATACCGAAGAGTTCAGGCATCTTTATTAACAGGCCGTCAGCAATCTAACAAAACTGAGAGGTATATTTGTTGAAGATAGTTCATTTAATAAAAAAGACTGATTTAATCCATTGCATCCCTTTATTCAAATGAAGCATGTTGTTCAAGGACTTCATTTTATTTAATTAGGCGAATGATGTCATAAAGAAGATAGAACTTTTATTTGAAAACTGCTTAATAAAAGCTTTAAATGTAAAAAAAGACATTTGGCAGTCTGGTTGTATCGTATACTTAATGGCCATTCATTGCAGTAGGTGTGTATGCACTACCTTTATATATAATATACCACTAAAAGAACAATGAAGTTGAAAGAATACTTTCTGTTGATATAAATGTATCTCTCACATGAAAGCGCACTCCAGAAGCAGCAGGAGTCTTATTATAAAGCTAGTGACAGTACACTTTTTCAACCATTGATTCAAAGGAGAAATTCACTTTTGCACTGAGTACCAGACCCATTATGTATTATTACCTTTGTCTTTCGGGACCCATTATAAAACAAATATTGCGGTTTGTCATATTGTGTTCTTATCCTTTCATGAGACCTGCTGCTTTCAGTATTCTGCTCAAATGCATCAAATTGCTGTTTTTCATTGCTCATGAAAAAAGAAACTACCTTTTTCTTTCTTTTATTGAACAAATTGAACGTTGGACTGAACACAAGCGGCACCAATAGAAAAAGATAGATACTGCCATTTAAAACCTTTACTAGTACTCCTTTTCAATGAGCTAAAAAACAATAGTTAATAGAGTCGATCAATAGAGTGCAATATTGCTGTATTTTACATTGCGTAGGGTTGTTATATTATACTTATACTGTATTATAAGCAAAGTGACTGTTTACATTTGCTTTAATTTAAAGAAAATGTAATTAAGTAATTTATTGAACATGCTGTAGTACTGCTAACATATACATTCACATGTTTTAATTATATAATATGACAGTTACATGCTGATTATAAATATAATTGTGTTCTAATTCCTTTAAGGGTTATTTTATCTGATTATAATAACTATATTATTAATAGCCAGGCACTGGTGCTGGTGAAACGATCCTTACAAATGCTACTTTTTCCAAGGACATAATTTTCTGGTTTTAGCCAAAATAATGTCAAGCTTTTAAAAGTGATAAGGTTTGGCAGAGTGTGATGTAAGTGGGTAGCGACTTCCATTTTCTGATTGCTTTAATGTGAAAGGCAGATTGGCCGAGCATGTCTTTTTGAATGCGGCCCCTCAGTGAGGAGTCCTTATCTTCAGGGCTCTGAGCAGACTCTTTAAAGGGGACGGCATGAGACCCTGAATAACTTTGAACATCAGACACACACCGGAACAGAATAAAGTTATGGAAAGTCAGCTAATCATATTTCTCTTCTCTGAACACATTTAGAGGGTTTTAAAGAGAGAAAATGGCATATATGAATCTAAAGGAAGGTTATGAATCAGGATATTTAGTGCCTATTGTTTATGAACTACATTGAATGTATATAATGTTTAGTCTCATATTGCCTTTTTTTTAAGAGTTTACTGTTCTTATTGTATATCTGAAAACAATATTTGAAAAACAATTGTTTTAACAACTCAAAGCCCCAATGAATTGAGCAACAAGAAAAGCTCCAGTGCCAAAATCCCATTCTATCCTACTATCTCTCCTCTCGAGCAAAAATCAGACACAGCTAAGAGATTCAAGGTTCCTTTTTCTTTTTTCTGGGAAAGGCTGCTCTCGGTCTGCCTGTTACTCAACCTCTATGACTCCCTTTCAATTGATTACCTCAAGGAACAGCTATTACTCTCTTTCTGAAACAAAAACAAGTCTTTCATCTTAATGCCATGTCCAAATGTAACTTCCTTAATACTTAAAATCACTCCTTGCTGCATATAATCTATTAACCCTGTGGTGTCGTGCTCGGGAGAATAAAAAAGACACGATTTTCATGAGAGCTTCCACTACCTAACATCACATCTTGTCCTACTCCCAGGAGATGTGTAAAGACAGAACAGTTTTGCAATGTGGGATCTGGAGGAGGAGAAATATCAGTCAATTTTGTTCCAGTATCTCTCTTAACAACTTGACTGTATGTGAGCAGCCCACGCTTTTTCTAAATCTCCCTTTCCTATCTAGGTCCGAAGCACCATCGATAACAGCTTTGTGGGCTGGGAGCTGGAAGAAGTCTTCTTGCTGGACATGTCATTGGAAGACGGAGACTCCAAGATCCAGAACCAGCTGAAGAAACTGCAGAGTCCGGTGATCCTACTCTACTGCACCAAGGAGGAGGCCAGCACCATCTTCGAGGTGGCTCACTCTGTGGGCCTCACAGGGTACGGCTTCACCTGGATCGTGCCCTCGCTGGTGGCTGGAGACGCAGATATCATCCCCAACGTCTTTCCCACAGGTAAACACAAACACCAGCGGCCCGCTTCACGAAGATAGACGCTGACTCTGGCATTGATCCACCTGCTGAATCAGACCCTAGATAGATGACATGGTTTATTCAAAGAAACCCCATCAACTGAGGCTGTGGCAGTTACCTAATCTTCCAGAGGTCCATAGTCAATATGTAAGTGATCATTACAATTGAAATTCAATTCAAAGCCAGTCAACACCTTACATGCAATTGAGTAAAGAAGAATACTAATCATAATCCATACAGTATATAGATGATGTAAATGAGTACCATACAACTCTTATGAAACAGAAACATTAAAAACACGAAGTTATGTCTTCTACTTCTCAGTCTGTTATCTGCATGCGCATTATTGCTTCCCTCTAAATTGTTTTTTAAAGGAAAAAAAAGATCAAAACAGATATTAAACTGTTGCACAAAGTGGTCTATTTCTTACCTGATCTTTAGTAGGACGACTGTACTTTTCTTTGTATTCTCTTTCAATTTAAAACCATAAGACATTATTGAAACACTTCAGACGTAGCTGAGACGGGGCAGGGCTTCTGCTTACTAGTCATTAAGGCTAGTGAGGTTTATTTCCAAGGGGATACTGCAGACTCTGGAAACTATTTCCCTCCTTTGTGCTCACATTGTTAGCAAACGTCAAATAAAAAAAATAAAAAATAATTTTATATTTTGGTCATCAGGTGTCCCTTATTGTTACGTTGGAGACATGGCTCTCGTGTGAGCCTGGGGGCATGGTGGATGCTCTTATGGAATACAAAACAAATCTCAAAGAATTATTGTTAAAACAAGCCTAACACAAAAGACCAGCATATACTATACTTGTGAAACAGTGAGAGGTGTTCTTAACATGTAATGGTTTAAATAGAGATACTCTCTTACCGTTGCTGACATAACAAATGCAGGTAATTAAGGCTTTTGCAGAGAGGAGCTCATTAGGTGCCTCATGTCAAAGTTGAAACATTAAGTAACTATTGCCAAATTAATTATGATGCATCTTTATTAATTATAGCGTAAACAACACCAAAACAACTAACTCTCGCTCTCTCTTTTTCTCCCTCTCTCTTTCTCTCTCCTCAATCAATGGTGCTATTAGCAGTTTTTAAAATTGACACCACTCGAATTGACTAGATAAGATGAACATCCTCAGAGGGATTTTTCCAGGGTTTGTTTGTCCTAAAACATGCCCTGAAAGTCATACAGAATATATGTAATCAAACTGCAGCTCTGGTGCCCTCTTGATGCTCTGTGCCATTAAGCATCCTTTTTAAACTGTGAACATCCTACCCAGGGCACAGGATGTAAAACACTTTTGGAGTGGTTGAAATGCTTCCTGTTTATCCTCTGCTTCATTGCTGAGCTAAACACTGCAATCTGTATTATAATATTATGTGGTAAGATTTCCAAAAGCTTCATATTGAAATGTGGGCACAAGTGACAGATGGGCTGGTTTGCATATATGCAAATGTCCTCATTGTTTATTTGCACTACACTGGGCAAGTCAGAGATAAGGTGCATACAGATTTCTGTTAACCTCAGGTGAATGACTTTTAGGGGGTCATATCTGTTCATTTTATATCGTTTTATCGTGCAATTTCTTACAAAAATATGAGATAATAATGACGGAAAAGCTTTATTTTTATAGTGTGGCCATCAGCTGTGAGCCGGCCTTACCAGAACATTATGAGCGTCTTAATGGTAGTATTCAGAAAATATCTAAACCCCTTTGTCATTTTACTGTAGCTTTCCCTCACACCTTCATCTTCACCAAGCATGTCTGAAGCGCTTATTTTGACTCCTGTATTTCCACATTTTAACTTGTGTGTGAAACCAGTAACAACACCAAGGCTGTCTGAACATGCAGCTTTGCCTTTTTTCCAAAAGATGTACTGTTTAATGTTTCAAATGTGAACACATAATCCAAACCAGCCACACAAAATGACCTGAGAGCGCAGTTGTTCATGGGTGTAAGAAATGGATGCTGACATGTGATAGCCAGCAGTTCCTCATGCTTGGAAAGCCAAGCATAACTAAATGAGCTGAGGGATGTTGGTGGTCTCCACTGACGCTCACATTCAGCAGCTTGTTTTCATGCCATTTCAACCTGTAACACTTTGACTGTGGCTTGTGTAAAATTAAGATATTTTAGGTATGACTGCCCTCATGATTTGGTCCCAGTGTTTTGCCACTTTTCAGCCTCTTATAAAAGGCTTTCATTTATTTTCCCCCTCCAGCATTTTTTTATCGCACTCTGTCTGCCTTTTTGTAACCTCACTCTCTTCTCTCCCCCCCTCTCCTTTTCATCTTTCTCCATATTTCTTTCTTTTCCCACTTTCCATTCATCCTTTTTCTCTCACCTCTCTCTACATCCCTCTCTCTCTCTATCCCAGGGCTTATCTCTGTGTCATATGACGAATGGGACTACAACATCGAGGCCAGGGTACGTGATGCAGTGGCTGTCATCGCCACGGCGACCTCCACCATGATGCTGGACCGGGGGCCGCACACCCTGCAGAAGTCCAGCTGCCTCGGGACTCCGGACAAAAAGGGCTCCAACACTGGCCACTCCAAGGAAATACTGAAGTGAGTCAATGCAGCGGGGAGGGGCGGTCGGAGGGAAGGAGGGGCGGGGGTAGAAAGATACAAATATTAGTGATGAACACTGAACATGTGTAAGTAAAATCACACACCTGAATAGCTTCTGTCCAACTGTTACCAGCCATGACAGGGCTGTCACATCTTTAGATTTCTCTACATGCTGAAGCGTTGCACTCTTGTTTTGGAATTTGCAACAGGAAAAGGAGCAGAGACTCTACCTCTGCTTTTTCCTGGCAATGAGTGAAACCCAGAGTGTATTGTATGACCAATATCTTAGACCTTCCACTCTCAATTGTGATCCCACTTTCGTTTTGTGATTTCTTGAGAAGCAAAAGCTTAACTAAAATCAAGCAATTTAATTGTATTATATAGATTCAGGTAAGTTTTAGACCTAAGTAAAAAAAAATTGTTTTACTTATTTTATTTGGTAAGGTTACATGCTACTTATGATAAATAAGTATTAGCTTACACTAGCTTCATCCAGTTGATAAACTCTGCTAGTGACAGTTCAATCAGGAGAGACATGATGTATGAAATACATGTTTATTACCGGGACACATGATATAAGAGAATGGTGATTGACAGATTACAAACAAATGAATGAACTGATGTTTGGCGATTAGCCCCGGTTTGCAGGATGATCATTCGGGAGGGGACAACCGCTCCGATGAACCCCCCGGGGTCTAGACACCGGTGGTGGTGAAGGGAGAAGGTTTTAGCTTGGCCCTGTATTAGGAGACGGAGGCGAAGAGGTGGAGGAGGGTTGTGCGTTGACACCTGAAATGACAACTGACAGAGAGGGAAGAGCAGATTTAAAGGGGTTAGCAGGTGCGATGATTGGCTAGCTGGGGAGTAACCCCCCTGATCACTTATTTGGGAGAGGAGAGGGTATTGAAATGACGTGTAACACCAGAGGATATTGGTCTTCCTCATTGAACTTGCGCTAAGCTTCATTTGTCAAACCAGAGAAGCTGCTTTGTTTAATACATTGACCCCATTGTTGAGAATGACTGTGAATGACTGGAACATGTTTGTTTTAATTCACAATTTCAGCACAGATCTTTTGTCTGTTGGGGTTTGTCACTTCAAATGACACAAGCTGTTGCTTCTGATTAAATACTACTTTAAGTGTTTACTGGTACAGGAAAGACATTCCTACTTTGCTGGAAAAAACATGGCAAATGAAAAAGCAATACACCATGTTAACCTAATGGTTATCTGCTTTGTAATATATTTTTACAAAAAATGAGAATGGGATCATGTACAAAACAACAAGAATGGCTGAATGTATTTATATGAATCAGAGCTAAGGGATTCTGCTGGTATAATCACAGGAAGAAAATGTGTGGTTTGGTCTTCTGTGGCTGAAACACAGTAGAAAATATGACGATAAGTCCAGCAGACGGGCAGTACAACATAGACTGGAGATACACACAGAAAAGACAACACGTTCCCTAAGGAGAACCACTATCTGTTTAATTAGCCAATAAAAACATGAGATGAACAGGGACATTAGGCCTCAGACTTATTACAACACTTTGTATTATCTTTAGCTTAACCCACAGCCATCTTTTCCTCTTCCTCTGAACTTCCTTGTTTTCGCTTTTTGGCACATTACAGAACAAGCAGGAGCATTGGTATTCAATAATTAATCCCCATTTAACTTCATAGGGCAGGCTTTTACAGTGCACATTGATCAGCGATTCCACAGTTAATTGAATGCTCGGGGACATCTGGATTAATGAAAAAAGAGCCAAAGAACAAGAGTATGAGTCATAGCGAGCCCACAGAAGCACACATGCAAACACACATGTTGTTATAGCATGACATTGTACTACTCTTCAGGGTTTAATCTAATAAAGGCTTAGAATTACTGATGTCGTTCCTTATTCGATGTTGTTCAGCCTTACACAACTATGTGCCTGCCTGCCTTTCATCCCTCTGTTTTCCTTATACTTAACATTTTCTCTGCTTTTGTTTGTTTGTCTCACTGTCAGTTTGAATTTGAGGAATATAAAGAACTAGGGAAATATTATGCAACCTCCCCTGGCACTGCTGCATTAATCTCCAGGTTGAGGTTGATGTATTACTGTAGATTTGGGTCTCATTTACCCATGTTTCTGTTTTTAATATCAGGGTGCACTTATCCGTGCTGTGTAGCAATCCGCCACCAACACACCTGAGAAAACAATAACACCGCAGCCATGAATATTTCAGTCCCCAAAGGGCGCTATCAGACACAGGGTTAGCTCTCAATCATCCGTCAGGCACACACCCTGGGACGGTGGTGTGGTGTGTGGTGTGTGTGTGTGTGTGTGTGTGTGTGTGTGTGTGTGTGTGTGTGTGTGTGTGTGTGTGTGTGTGTGGTGTGTGTGTGTGTGTGTGTGTGTGTGTGTGTGTGTGTGTGTGTGTGTGTGTGTGTGTGTTTGTGTTCATTCCAACAAACCATCCAATTTTTTCTCCATTTGACTGAGCAAAAGTAGAGACTCTGGATTGGTGGTTTTTGGTGGTAACCCTAGAGACCTGAAACACACACACACACACACACACACACACACACACACACACACACACACAATTCCACCTAATCCATCCCCTCACCCCCAGAGACAAAAGCAATAATAAGGCCATATGTCTCTGCGTGGTCCTGTATCGCTGGGGGCCACAGTGGCCTGCATGCATGCTGGGTAAGCATGCCATCCTGTCAGTGCTGATGGACAGGAGAGATGGGAGGCCCCAGTGAGTCACGCTCTCAAATTTGTTTAGGGGCTGCTTGACCTTATGGGCCACACACACAGAAACACGCATATATAAATACATGCATGAACAGAAAACTCTCGCAACACAAATAAGTAAACACACACACACGCATAGCTCTAGAGGCCATACATTGTATTTCCTGCCAGACTGAGAGGACAGGAACGCTTGGGTAATGAGAAAATGTGCTCCAAGTGGTTTTGGTTCAGGCACTCAGGGGTTGTATGTTGCAGGGGAAGAGATGTTTCTTATTATTTTTTTTAATCTGTCTGTGCGCTTGCGTTCAAATTGCCTCTCAAATCCCTGTGCTGATTGAAATGCTGCACGGGTAGATATGATGCAAGTGATGATTAATAACTTGAAGTGAGATTACTTTCATGTGATCTGACGCTTGTCTTCATGTCTTTGGGCCGGCTGCAGTCCGAGACATACACTAGAGCTCAGTGAGTAATATTCGTCTGCAGGCCAACTGACCCGTGTGCTGCCTCACGCATGTTGTTCTCATTCTGTCTCACCTTTAAAGTAGATGATGTTATTACATTTCTTAATGGGCTCAATAAAAGTGTTGGTCTTATAAATCCTTGCACAGTTTTTTAGAAGTCAAGAAGGCAATTTCATGGCGCTTTTGGACATTGAGAGAACAAATTATGTATTTTTTATAGACCCTTTCTTTCTCTGGAGGTGTGACAGAAATGTACATGTGTCTCCTGCACGCCATGTCACTCAGACTCTCTTATCTGAACTACTGTATTGTCAGATTTCCCCTCCTTGGTTCTCCTGTCTTTCACTTTTCTGGCTTTGCAATGCTCTTACAGCAGTCCATTCTCACTGTAAAGCACTTTCAATTATATAAAATGAAGCTAGAACCTTTAATCAGAACGAAATGTTGGCACAAATCCTAATTTCCTATATACATTGTAAAGATGGAAGATTATTGTTTTTAATGACAGGGTTACTTTTATTTACCTCATTTCACTCATCTGTGTCCTTTACCTTATTCCTGTGAGGGACATTTAATTGCCGTTGATATTATAACCAATCGATATTTCATATGGCCTTTTAGTTATTGGATCTGTGATCAACATCGCACATCTGTTTAAAGTTCAGTGCTGTGACGAGATTACAACATGTTTCAGTGTTACCGCAAGTACATAAATGTACTTTTTTATGTTTTACTTCCATCAATTTGTATTTGAGTTTGAGTTTTTTAAGCCACTAAGTTTTCTTAGTGTAGTAACTTAATACACATACAGTCGTTTTAAATAATTTGGCTCTTGTTGGACTTTGATAAACACGAGGGAAAGGGCTCTGTTGAATCCAGGTTTCTAAAGACTTGGTGTCAGGTGTGTGTAGCAAACAGTAAAAGGAAACAATGTCAACAAACTCACAAAATATATTATAAGTGGATCATCAGAGGCAGAACATACTTTTTTTTTTTCTGTCATTCAAAACAATAACAAAGACAGAATTTGGTTGCGTGGGATCACGGGAGTTTGTCGTTGCTCTCAGCTCCTCCCTGTTAGGATTTCTTTATTTTTCATTCTTCAGGAGGGTTTTACAGAGAACCAAAGTATCCCTATATGTCTCCTCGTCTCCAAAATAAATTAACATGGTTCTTGAAACTGTTAAAAACAATTACTTAAACAGTTTCATGTGCAAACGTCTGATAAAGTTTATGGAGAGAAAGACTGCAGGCAACCAATGTTTGCTCAGCTTATTTCTCTGATAATATATATACTCTAAAACAGTGGTCACCAACCTTTTTAAGCCCAAGATCACCGACCTCGGCCTAGTTGAAAGGCGAGATCTACCTATTGCAGAATTGAGTGAAAAAGACGGCCCAGACAATGCTTCCAATTTGAGGCCTTTTATATAATTGCATCTGAATTACTGTTACAATGAAGGCTCCATAATCAGCTCACGGCATATAGGCAGGGGTAAAGTGCTATTTTTTACAAGTGGGGGGCGGACCTCACCTCCTCTAGGGGGGTCCTCACCTTCTCTAGGTCCTCACCTCCCCCGGGAAGATTTGTTTTTAAATATTGAAGTTAAAAGCATCAATCTGGTGCACTTTGAGAGCAACATGAAGAGATCTATGGATACCTCTCTCAACATCCATATGAAACAGAACTGTAACCAGATTTTCTTTTTCTTTAGGGATATTTACAAATCACTCCCCTTTTTAACTGTAATTCTTGTTTTTACGGCCATATAGTCTTTCATACCTG